CACTGTCTCTCTCCACCCCGCCTCCGCCTCCTTCTCACTCTACCTAAAAAATCAATGGAAAAATATCCTCTCGGGTGAGGGTTTTAAAAAAACAAGGACTCTGCAGATCTGATTAAGTTAAGGGTCCTGAGATGGGGAGATTACCTTCAACTATCTAGGTGGGTCCAATGCAATCACAATAGTCCTTGTGAGTGAAGGAGGTGGACAGGAGGGTCAGAGAACACGTGATAATGGAAGCGGGGGTAAGACAGGGATAGCGACAGAGACAGAAATGGAGACAGAGATAGAGAGACAGAGGCAGAGGCAGAGAGACAGAGATGGATGCAGGATGCACAGACCTACGACGCCACACACACAAGGACGCAGGTGTCCTCCAGAAGCTAGAAAAGGGAAGGACAGAGACTCTCCAAAGAGCCTCCAGAAGGAACACAACCCTTCCAAAACCTTGATTTTTGTGATTTCTGACCTCTAGAACTGTAGGATAATAAATTTGTGTTGTTTTACCCAGAAATTTCACTACCAATTTTATACCCCCAAAATTGAAATAAGGACCTAAGATATGACACTGTTCATTGCAGCATTATTCACAATAGGTAAAAGGCAGAAATAACCATGGTCCATCAACAGACAGATGGATAAACAAAACGTGGTATTTGCATACAGTAGAATATTATTCAGCTCTACATGCTACAACATAAATGAACCTTGAAAACATGATGCTAAGTGAAGTAAGTCAGACACCAAAGGAAAAATACTATATGATTCCACTTACATAAAATATCTAGAATAGGCAAATTCGTAGAAACAGACACAGACTGCAGGCTGCAAGGGCTGGAGGAGGGAGAAATGGAATTACTGCTCCCCAGGGAACACATTGTGGCAGCATCCTCCAGACAACTATGTTAAAGAAACACCATTACTGTTCCCTCTTATCCAGATGGGGTTTTTGTTGAGAGGATATTATTTTAGCAAAATAATTCAATTTTCCAGTTTTTTCGCTCCTGATCTTGGGCCCCTGGAGCTACTCTCGGGAAAGGCCATGTCACCTGTGGGCTAGATAAACACTCTCTCCCTCAGTCTGAGCCTGACCCTCAACAAGACGATTAATCCTTTGTATTTATTTATGTCAATCACCTCCTTAAAGTAACCATGTCAAAACATACTCCCTCTACCCAGAACCCCAAATCCACCTCGAGGCAGCACGAGGCGGTGGAAGGTCTCTGCAGCCCGGACCCTCAGCTCTGCACCTACCTGCCCCCGTCGTGAGAGGCACCGCACACCAAGCGGAGCCCTAGCGATCGCGAGGAAGGCGTGTGAACGTGTCTGCCACGCACACGCACGGGATCCAGCGAACGGAACGGGAAGTGCTGCCGTCAGCTCAGCCTCACCCTGCCTGCCCCCAGGCCCCTCAGCGGCGTGAAGGGGAGATGGGATGGTGACGGGAGCTGGTGTAAACTAGTGCCCGTCTTCCTTCTCCCCGCCACCTCAATATTCTCTCCTTGTTTAATCTGACCTTCTCCCCAACTTCAGAAAAACAGTCTCTCTCTGTACCAAGGGAAGCCCCCATTCTGTACTTTTTATTTTATTTTTTAGTATTTTTTTCTTTATTGATTTTATGGAGAGGGAGAGAGAGAAACATCGATGAGAGAGAACATCGACTGGCCGCCTCCTGCACATCCCACCCTAGGGATCAAACCCACAACCTGGCACATGCCTTGCCCAGGAATTGAGCTAGAGACCTGCTGGCGCACGGGGCGACGCTCAACCCTGCGCCGCACCAGCTCGGCCCATCCTGTGCTTTTGATCCCAGCCCTCCTGCCCTACCTTGATCCCATCAATTGCTTCTTTTCCTCGATCTCTTTCCTCCAGTGGTTCCTTCCACCTGGCCTAACACATACTCACATTTCCTGAAAGAAATACCACTGTGGCACTTTCTGCACCTCCCCCTGAGTTTCCATGCTCTACCCGGGATCCGTCACCTGTCCATCTGTCTGATAGTGGAATGAACAGCCCAGGTGTGACAGCACCAAGCACAACGTCCACACGGGGCGGCGCTGCTGAGTGACCACTGGCAAGCCCAGCTGCCGACCTCCTGTGCGCACCAAGGGCTCCGACGGAAGCGCAGCGCCGGCATGGCTGCTCCGCTCAGACAGACCCGCCGGCAGGAAGTGCCGTGACAGTCCTCGATCATTTCATGCCGTTCTCTTTACAATATCACAGATCAGAATTATCTTACCAGAGATGTTTGCAAATGCCATGACCTAGCCCTGGCCAGTTTAGCTCAATGACTGGAGCGTTGGCCCGTGGACCAAGGAGTCGCTGGTTGGATTCTGGTCAAGGGCATATATCCCGGTTGCAGTTCGGTCCCCCGTCCTGCTTGGGGTCATGTGGGCGGCAGCCAGTCGATGTGTCTTTCTCACAGCAATGTGCCTCTCTCTCCTTCTCTCTGTCTCTCCCTCCCTCCCACTCTATCTGAGGATAAATGGAAAAATACCTTCAGGTGAGGATTTTAAAAATATAAAAAATGCTGTGATCTACACAAAAGTATTCATCATAGAGTCTTTACAATAAAACAATGTGCTTGTTATATTTTTAAATAAGAATCAATTTGTAACATCTGAACAAAATGTAAGTTTGCACCTAACCTATCATACACCGTCATTCGATGGAGAAACTAGAACCCAGTGCCTGCCAAGGGTCCTGGCCAGCAAGGTGACAGGGCTGGGAGGAGCTGAGACCGCGGGAGGCTGAGCCCCAGGAGCCAGCTGTTCTCATGGGGGCCCACGGGAGGGCTGTGGGGTTCACAAGGCAGCCGAGGTGGGCAGAGGAAGTGAGTGTCATGCACAGGGCAGGGCACAGGTCCCCTTGGGCCCAGCTCCTGGAGCTCCTGCACTGCAGCGGCTCCTGAAAAAGCAGTTCGGTCCTCTGTTGGCAGGGAGAAGAGACCATCTCCTCTGCTGCTGCTGGTGGTCAAGACGTCGAGGAAGGGCCAGTTCTCAGCCAGAGTCAGTATTAGAGCCCTTAGACAACAAGATGCCTAAACTGCTACACACGTTTCATGTGAACACAGGGCAAGTTCACAGCAGTGTGCTCCAGCTGGAACGTGCCGCAGCAGGTGCTCCAGCTGGAACGTGCCGCAGCAGGTGCTCCAGCTGGAACGTGCCGCAGCAGGTGCTCCAGGTGGAACGTGCCGCAGCAGGTGCTCCAGGTGGAACGTGCCGCTCCAGCAGGTGCTCCAGGTGGAACGTGCCGCTCCAGCAGGTGCTCCAGGTGGAACGTGCCGCTCCAGCAGGTGCTCCAGGTGGAACGTGCCGCAGCAGGTGCTCCAGCTGGAACGTGCAGCTCCAGCAGGTGCTCCAGGTGGAACGTGCCGCTCCAGCAGGTGCTCCAGCTGGAACGTGCCGCTCCAGCAGGTGCTCCAGCTGGAACGTGCCGCTCCAGCAGGTGCTCCAGCTGGAACGTGCCGCTCCAGCAGGTGCTCCAGCTGGAACGTGCCGCTCCAGCAGGTGCTCCAGCTGGAACGTGCAGCTTCACTTTATTGCCGTGCACGGCAGAGACCACAGGTGCACATCCTGACCCTGCCTTATTTCCTGGCTGGCTCTGTGCCTCAATGTCCCATTTCTTGAAATAACAACAATACCAAACCTGCAGGCTGGCACAAGAACTCAGGCTTCGATCACGGCTGCGGCCCAGGGAGTCACATGCAGACGGTGCCGGTGCTCCGCAGAGATCCAGAGCCAGCCCCCCCCCCCCCCCAGAATGCTCGCCCTCGCTGGCAGGGGCTCTTCAGGCGCAGGGTCCTGCTCTCTCCGCCCTGATGCTCTCTGTGAACAAGTCCCACACACAGGCCAGGTGCCGAAGCACCTGCACTGCCAGACGAGAGGTGGGGCCACACAGGACAGAGGAACACAGAGGGAGGCCCTGCACAGTTCAGACAACAGCACGTAGCATCCCCCTCAGGAGGGACAGCAGTCTGCTCGGCCGGGCTGGCTTCAGGGGCAGTAACTGGAGGGAGCCCAACAGCTCAGTGTCCCCCAGAGGCGCAGGTATGTTCAGAGACGGCAGGATTAACAGCACCCCAGGTTCAGGACAGTAGCTGTCAGGAAGCTGCTCCGTCGGTTCATCCGCTTCACATGGAAAGGCTATGTGGCCGGGGACCCGGCTTCGGGCCGAGGCAGCTTACACAGCGGGCGGCAGAGGCGACCTGATGGCCAGGGCAGAGGCCGTGTCTTCAGGAACCGGCCCCCTCTGTGCCCCTGGCCCACGGTTCCTGTGGTTGAGGCTGTAACTTCTGCCTTGTCCCGAATCTGGGAAGTCCCTGTCCCACCCCTGGCAAACAGACAGAGCCAATGTCTACGGAGCCGTGTGCGGAGTTAGGAGGGTGGGCTGTGGAGACAACCTACCCTTTAGGGACAGCTTTCCTCTCCCAGGACCTGTTTTCTCATGGATGCAGCCATTTCCCCCGATAGAGGGGTTAACCAAGTGTAATTCTTTTTACTCACCAAATAAAAGGTGGTATGAGAAATAGGTGTGTGTCGTCAGCTATGTGCAGACACTATCCTAACCCTAACTCACATTGAATGTCGGGCGGTGGGATTTACTGTTTGTTAACACCTGTGACAAGAGCAACTTTCCACTGAAATACGTTACTTATCCCACTTTGCCATAGAGCGCACGCGTCTCAAACAGACCAGGGAGACTGACGCCACACAGCTAATGGCAACCCCATAACTCATACCCAAAACCAGAGGCCCAAAGGACTATGCTCTGAGCTGCTCTGTAGCTTCACTGACAAATGGCAGCAAAAAGACAAGCCGTGTGCAGGAGAAGTCAGGTATCTGAAGAAAATACAATCTCAGCTCCTGCAGGTACTGAATTATATCTGACAACTCAACACTCAAAGCAGCCTTCATCTGCCCAGTGCGGGTCCCGGTTCATGGACCCCCACCTGTCCCCACCCACCGAGTGAAAGGCTCAGTCCGGGTTGGCCGGCGTCTTACCTGTGCTGCTGTCCCCACTCTCCACAGATGGTTTACCATTTTCTGGAGGACTGTTCATTCTCGAGTCTGCAATAAACCAGAGGTGAACGAAGTTAAAAAACTGGGGATGTGGTTAGGGCAGAGGAAAGGGTTACGAATATTGCCTAATGTTACAGTCCTACAGTTCGAGGAGACAGTCAATGCTAAAACATTGGAAATTGCAAAAGAAGTTTATCTGAAAGAAATTCAAGATTCCATCAATCCTGAAGTGATCCAAAATTAAGTAGTCTTTCTAATGAATTTTAAGATGCTTCCAAGAAAAATAGCAGAAATCTGACCTGAAAAGTTATGAGTCTGATACGTAAAAGGAGTAAATGCTTTATATTATGAAGATAAAGGACGTTAAAGAAATAAAGCTAGGGAAGCATCTCAGAGTAACATGTGTTACTGCCCAATAAAGTTTATTTTTCCATAAGCAAAGATATTTGCTAATTACGACCAAAACAATCCACTGATAATCTTGACAACAGTAACTCAACAGAGTAACACAAAGCACATCTAAGAAAAATATCTCCCTGTCCCCCAGACCAGCATGTGCCAGAGTGATGTGCCAGGTTCACCGCTCGGTCATACAGCAGCACGAGGAGTCATGCACAAGGCACAGCAGATGTATCAGATGACTCCAGACAGACCCCACACCCACTGGCATCAGCTACCTCGATGCCCGGAATGAGCCCGCTGACGTGGCTCCTCTCTTCGGGAATATCTGTGTCTGTTTCAGGAAGACTTTGCAGGACAAAGTCCTCATCACGAAGGCCAGGTGTCCCAGATGATGTGCGACAGAGACGAGGACAAGCCTGCTTTCCTTCCACATCTTCAAAAGGGGGGAAACTAAATACAGACCCCATTCCACTCTTCCTCAAACTCAAAGTCGGCGTGTTTGTAAAGCAAACTAGTTTACCTTCGAGCAGGTTCTGCCTCCCCTCCAGGTTAAGAACCATTTACTACTGGTTAGCTGAGAATAAACACTTTAACTATGTTATACTGGATTTCCGACCAGAGGGCACATTTTGTCATCTGCTTCAGTGTTTAAATAGAAAATTAAAATGGTCATTTGCGTCCCAGCCACGTTGTCCCAGTGACACTATCCATGTGCACAGGGATGAGAGCTTCAGGAGTCCTCCAAAAATGTCACTTCCACCCGGGAAGCTGAGGACCCGCGGCTCTAATAGAGGTAAACAGACACCTGTCCTGCGTGATTATGCAGTTCTACCATATCTTTGGTTTGTTCTTTGAAGCTCAAAGGGTTCAGATTCTTATGTCTTTGGTCATAAATGAGGGTTTTTGTATAACTTCCTTCCCCCCACTGCCCAGAAAAATTTAAATATCATCTGAAAGCAGACTAAGGTTTGAAAGAAACAGGTGTACAACGTAGTAAAAATCAGCTTTCTGAATGACTTAACCAAAATCTTATGAAGGTCAACAAAGACCACAACAATGTGACAGAAAACACCCTGAAGCACACACAGGGCTCCCTGCTCCCTTCAGACTGCATTTTAAAGGAAAGCGGGAAAAACAATGAATCGGTTAGCATTCATTTTAAAAGATGCCAATTTCCTACATATCATAAAAACAATAAGGCATAATTCTCAACAAGTCATGAGCTTAACCCCGCAGTTTGTACCCTAATTCTCACATCCACAAATTAGTTAGGTCACAGGTGTCTATGGGATTTTCTAAGGATTTTCTATTGAACTGTCAAGACCTTCAAAGACATTTAACAAAATTACTTCCCACACAAAATAATAAATATAAATTCTGATTAACGGTACAACTATGGGAAGACTGTTTAAATATTTGTTAACTAAAAATAATAGACATAATTTCTAATTCTGAAATATAATGCTAAAAGTATTTCAGGAAAGTATTTCCTTCCCTTCTCGCGCCCCCCACTTGGTGAATGTGTGCGTCCGGGTGAGCCTCCCGCACGGGAGCAGCCGTGCCCCGAGCCGGACGCTGCGGGCTGCGCTTGGGCTGAGCTCTCGGCTCGGTTGTTGGTTCAGCCACCCACGCGGCGACAGTGGCTTTCACACTTTGCACGCACGCCACCACTACTGTGCTTCCGGCCATGCCTTCTGTCCACCTGAAACTCAAACACTTCCAGAACTATCGCTTGACTCTGCCCCTGGTGTCCGTGAAGCGATGGGGCAGCCTGCTTCTCACGCGGGGAAATGACACGCAGGCACAAAGGTGCAGTGTGAGCCGGCAGAGTCCCGGAGTTCGCTCCAGCTGGCTCTCCGGGACCAGGTGAGCCACAGAGCTGTCAACAAGTCTGCACAGGCAGACGAAACGCACACAGACGTGGCCACCAGGAGCCATCCCTGTCTACAAGCCAAAGCGCCTCACTCGGTCTGAAACTCAGTCCCCAAGGACAGTTTATATATTCCAGTCAGAAGCTCCCTCTTCGAAGGGCTTCTTCTTCTATAGGGAAAATTCTAAAAACAGGCTTTTCAGAACTTAAGGTTGTTTTCTGAAGAAAGGTTAATTTTTTAAAGTAAAATCGGCTAGTATTAGTCAGATGTGAGAAGTCCCATCCTAACATCTGGAGAGGGACCCACAGCCCGGCGCAGCACCGACTCGCAGGGCAGTGGCTCACCCGGGGCTCACGGGGGCGAGTCCGCACTGCGGCTCCGCCTGCTTCTCACTCAGGACTTTGGTTTTATATGAGACCTTCTAACTAAGTATGCAAAACACTTTTATTAACACACATATTATTTAGGTGCATTCAGACCTTGTTTCTGATCTAGAGCGCTTTCAGAGCCGCACGAAAGGCTCTCAGTGGACCGTCCCAAACAGCAAAGACGCCCTCCGCTGAAGCTGCATCCCAAGTCCACACTGTTCACTGCAGTCTCCGGACCAGGGGCGCTGGCGGTGGAGGGCCCACTGCAGGTTCAAGTGCACGGCGCCTTCCCACGCTCCCCTCCTGCTGCACCCGCGTCTCCCCCCACCGGCCGCACAGGTGATGGAGCGTTTCTGCCGCCAACCCCACCCCATTTCCACACTGAGCTCGGAGAGCGCTGTCTGTACCCACCTAGCACCGAGTCGCTGCGGTCCAGCATTGCTGGGAGATCCTCTAGGGCCGCACCGTCCACAGCGAGGAGAGCGGCCAGCGGGCTGGGTGGGCTCAGAGGCACCACTGTTTCTAACAGATCTGGGGGAACAGGGCGGGAGGTGGGCAGTGGACTGGGGGAGATGCGAACTACAACCAGTTACACCATCACCATCTCAGCTGAATACGGAAACTTCAGTTGCTCAGAGGAGTTTTAGTCTCTCCTACCAGCTAGGACTGACATTGTCAAGGCAACTGAAGCATGAAAAGTTCCCCTTTTTGTAATAAAATAGAAACAAAGATTGCAGCTGGCAGTTTCCATAATGAAGCTTAATCAGTATGCGCGTGATTAGGGCCTCATGCAGATCTCTCCTCGTTAGAGCAGCAGCCAGCACTTTGAAGTCCCGACAATTCATTTACAGAGTACACTGAGCACTCCCTGCATAATTTAAATCATTACATAAATATTTATCAGTCCATTTGCATATTAATTGGCAGTGCATGAAGGGAAAAATTATCTCCGGAGTGCCAGCATAATAATTAGGAGGATGAAATGAGATTTCTTCCAATGGCCTGGCTTCTCAGACCTGACTTGAGATGGTGCTGGGGAGAAGGGAGGGACAGGCGACAGGGCTCTGTTAAAACCACCAAAATGACACGTACAAATTAGAAACAACTCTGGCGACTTAAGCACCTTTAATCTTATTCCTGCTGGCAACAATGACTTCAGTAATAAGAGGATTTGCAAAAACCTTTCTACACAGTCCAAATAATCCCAAGGAACAATTAGCAAGGTAGCAGCAGAACACAGGACTGTCAAGATGGTGCTAGCCGACTGATAGGAAAGGTTCCAGATATTAACATGCACCCGCCTTCCGGGAAAGTCACCCCAGCAGGCAACAGTGGAACTCCAGAAGCAGGGCAGGGCCTGTACAACCCCCTTTGGGGGGGCTCTACACAATCCCTGTGCACTGTGCTGACGGACTCCACTAGTTGAACAGCACAAGGTATGTGGTACCTTCCCCATCAAACTCAATCCAAAGTGGAAGACAGTGTGTTGCTTACAATAACAATCATCAGAAAATGGGCCGTGTAAATCATGGAATTACTTAGTATCTCAAGTAAATTCTACTTAACAGATATGAATAAATGTGTGTGTGTATAACACCCTGCTAAATAACACATCTATTCAATTTCAAGAGAATTTACAAGGTAAAACATCAACCCCAAACTTTTGGGGCATTATATGACGACACTGTGTTCGAATCATAGATGATGCAGGAGAAGATTCACAGAAACCACATGCAGTGGACATTATGATGCCTTTTAAAAAGGACAGCCACAGAGAGCCGGAGTGCTCTGCCCTATGTCACACAAGCAGCGTGGGGTTGGGACTTCAAATCAGACTTGCTGACATGAAAACCTCAGCTCTGGGCTCTCCTACACGATGGACCAGCTGTGCACTCGGGGAGGGGCAGGCGTGGGGGAAGGGCTCAAAGAAGGCAAGGCTAAAGAGCTTGTTTTCAGTGTGGCCAGGAGACCGACAGTGGTGACAAGGATTCATGTTTAAAGTCAAGTGTGTGCAGACGCACAGACGCGCACCAGGCTGGAGAGTTCCTGGGGGTATTATCCCGCTAATCACTGCTTTGATTTGGAACTGGTCTCCGAGCACGCCAAGTGTCCGATTTTAAAAAATATGTCACTTTTGCCAACACTAAGGCTGGAAATGAACTCAACATGCATATGAGGAAATGAAAGACAAGATTTTTATAAAGGATCTTAAAAAGATTTCCTTGCAAGTCAGTGACAGCTGGGAACAGAACCAAGAATCTCTCGGCTTTCAGACCAGCATTCTATTGGTATGGCTGGTTCTTCTGTTTACAGAATCACCAAGCGCATATGAGGGGAGCGCCTGGGGAGACACCGAACACGGCCCCACAGCACCTCCGCGCTCACGTGCCTTCCCTCTTTGAACCTT